ACCACATATATCAGCCGATATAGAACCACACACTAATCTCTATTTGACCAGATATCTATACAAAATCTAAGACAATAATTTTGGGACAGAGGGAGTAATAATTATACTATTTTTTGCAAATTAATAATTATATATATATATATATATATATATTGATTATTGATTTATCATGTTCCATGCAACCATGCTTAGAAAAAGAATAAGCTACAAGTTAACATGCTAATGTTATCCCATACAAATGTCCCGCAGCAATGCACATGGTATTATCTAGTTATATAAATCAAGAACAGTATTTTCTAAAATAACACATATAATGCAATTTTTATCTTATAGTAAAGACTTTGTACCTATTTATGAATGATCTAGTAAATAAAAATGGAACCATACATTTGTTATGCTCAAGCATTGACACCATACTATTTTCAATAATAAAATAATACATGTTATAAACAAGAATGCTAAAAAAATCAGATATATTTATCTGACAACTACGTATGCTTTGATATATCACCCGGTATCTTACAACCCATGTGTCAAAGCCATTCAAACATTAGTTCCAAATATTTTTAAGTTACTACTCAAAGTTGACCGGAGAATAATTGTTGTTAATTTTGTAGCATATGTTTCAGAGATTTAGCGCAAATTGTTTCAGGGGATAACCGAAATTATTTCCCTGAGTGGAAGTTTTTCTTTCATTTTTTTGAGGGGTAGTATTTCTTTCATTTAGGGCTTTGATAGAGAGCTGGTCCTATTCAGCCCACAAAGCCTTTGTTTCTTTCTCGTTCGCGGCAGCAGCACTGAATAAGGCCCAGGCCCGTAGCACGGTACGACACCACCGAGAGACACGTGCGCGGTGGTCGGGCCGGCCGCTATATATTCGCCCGAGCCCCTCGCTAGGGTTTCCCCTCATCCTCCCTCGCCGTCAAAACCGAATCAGAAATCTCAAGCTCAGCACAGCAACAATGGCCGAGCAGACCTTCATCATGATCAAGCCTGACGGCGTCCAGAGGGGCCTCGTAAGCGCCTCCTCCTCTTCTCTTCCCTCCCGTCGGCTCGTTTGCTCCGCTGCTAGCTCGTGCTGACACCACCGTGCTCCTGTTTTTGTTTCTACTTTGATCAGATCGGCGAGGTCATCAGCCGCTTCGAGAAGAAGGGCTTCTACCTCAAAGGTAACCAGTACAGCTCTCACGTTCGTGCTTGAATTACGGTTTTGGTGAAGATCTGCTTGCTGATCTGCGAGCTGGCTATGCAGGTCTGAAGCTCCAGAACGTGGAGAAGTCGTTCGCCGAGCAGCACTACTCCGATCTGTCCTCCAAGCCCTTCTTCGCTGGGCTCGTGGAGTACATCGTCTCCGGCCCGGTCGTCGCTATGGTCTGGGAGGGCAAGAGCGTCGTCGCCACTGGACGCAAGATCATTGGCGCCACCAACCCCCTGGCCTCTGAGCCCGGCACCATCCGTGGTGACTTTGCCGTCGACATCGGCAGGTGAGATGTTAGACAAAGTAGTTATTGAGTTGAATAGTGTATAGATTTATCCTGATTGTCTGTTACTGTGCGTTTAATATCCAATTCAAAAATCCGCATACTTGAAGATAGTATATGCTCATTTAGTTAATTATATGCTACGTACTGTAGTAGATAGCATTGTGTTGCAGACTACTTATTTGGTGCAGTCGAATCAAATATTTGATGCTGTTTAGCCTGTTTAGGCTTAGGAAACTGAGCCTAAATCGTCTGAAAGGGGAAATACCTTGTGCTTTTTACATGAATTGTTCAGTTCATAAAATCTTGTTTGCGTTATTCGCTGATTTATTCAGAGACTATAGTCGTTTCATTGTAGGACAGAACTTATGGCTCATGTTTGTTGTATGTGTGCACATTAGTCATTCATGTATGATTTGGAGTAGAGGATTGGCTTGTGATGATTCAGGTCTGAAAGGATCTTAGCGGATTTCGGTGAGGCAGATTCGTCTGTCATTGATCGATTCATGTTGTTACACACACTGAAGCCTTTCTGTCTCTTTCATTGATTTTGTCTTGGTTTTTATTCTCATTTTTTCTGTGATGCGATGATGATTCATATAGGTTTTTGGCAGTAGTGGCATCTGTCACTGTGAGCCTTCAAACCAAAAACGACTTCTCTTTCCACTGAGCATTGCTTTGTTGCACTTGGTCCTCCCAGTTACATAATCTGAGATGTTTTTTGCTTTTGGTTCTTTAAGGGATTTCTGCAATGCTTTCTGTTCTCTTTCTCTTAACTAGATTATATTGTCAATATTTTGTTGATTTTACTTGGGCCCGATGCCACGTCTCCATTAGCCACAAAGCCTTGACTGGAGATGCTACATTGTGCCGAGAGAGAGTTCTTGGACTATTCACATTTGATAGGAACCTGTGGCTGTGATTCAGTCGGTACACAGAGCCGTTTTTTGTGATTACACTTCTTGACTGCATAACCATAACATAATATTTTTTGTAGTTGTTTTGAAATTTCGGGAGCTCAAATGGCGATGATGATAAAGCTAAAGGCTTGTTTCTCGAAACATTCGCAGTTGCTGCCTAAGAGCTTTCGCCCTGCCAGGCTTGAGAGCTAATGCTGCTAATTCCTTCCTTGGATGTCTGAGCCATGTTGATTTTCCTAGTTTTTAATCTCCTTTTTTGATATCAGAAAAATAATACAATGTTTTGAGAGCAGCGCAGTGCACTCGAACATTGTGCCGATAGAGTTCTTGGACTATTCACATTTGATAGGAACCTGTGGCTGTGATTCAGTCGGTACACAGAGCCGTTGATTACACTTCTTGACTGCATAACCATAACATAATATTTGTTGTAGTTGTTTTGAAATTTGGGGAACTCAAATGGCGATGATGATGAAGCTAAGGCTTGTTTCTCAAAACATTCGCAGTTGCCGCCTAAGAGCTTTCGCCCTGCCAGGCTTGAGAGCTAATGCTGCTAATTCCTTCTTGGATGTCTGAGCCATGTTGATTTTCCTAGTTTTTAATCTCCTTTTTTGACATCAGAAAAATAATGCTCCCTCTGGACCTAAATATTTTTCTTTTTAGAGATTTCAAATGGACTACCATATACGGATGTATAGACATATTTTAGAGTATAGATTCACTCATTTTGCTTAGAAAGACAAATATTTAGGAACGGAGGGAGTACAATGTTTTGAGAGCAGCGCAGTGCACTTGAACCTGCTGCGTATTGACGGCCTGTTTAACACACTAGTGTCTCCCTTCGTATCACTATATTTTGCTATCTGGTTGCATTCTAAAACTTTTATCTGCATCATCCAGGAACGTCATCCATGGAAGCGACTCAGTTGAGAGTGCCAGGAAGGAGATCGCCCTGTGGTTCCCTGAGGGCATTGCAGAGTGGAGGAGCAGCCAGCACAACTGGATCTATGAGGCCTAAGATGTGTCATGAGTGGTTTGAGTGCAGGTTTCATTAAGCATCTACCAAACTAGTCTTTGGTTGTTTACAGTTTTGAGATTTGTATCTTGGGAACCTTGTTTGTGTGAACTGAAGTTATCTCCTTGTGCTTGAGCATGCAAGCGTTATCTGCTGCTCTATATTTGATATATGGTATTGAGTTGCATTTCATGTTTTTGCCGTGCTTTGATTATTTCTTTGCCCTATTTTTTTGTGGGTTAGTAGCAGAATTGTACTCATGATACT